TACTTCAAGATGCTTTGAAAAGATAAAAGGTGTCTAATAAACAATAAGCCTTCAAATTACAGTGCTTCATAATTTTTACTTTATAGGTAAGGATTCAGTCAAAAATCAGAATTAAAAACTTTTTTACTAAAATGCTACCACCTCATTTATCCCAGTGTAGAAAGGTTAGGAAAGATGTAAACAAATACTTTAAAAAAAGGGGCAATTACACACAAATAAATGAAAATTGCCTCTTCTAATGTAAACATATATTTCATATAGATTACATACACATATAATTATAGATAAAAAATAAATGAAAAAAGCTACAACCCTCAGATTATCTCACTGGCAGGCACAGCAGTCTTCAAAATCTCCACTCATAATCTAGTATATTCTTTTATTTCTGTGGTAATTAATTGCAATGTTATATAATAGGGCTCCATGGGAGATTCTTGCTGATGGATGCAGCACAGCTGGCCTCTAGTGGCCTGGGAATGAACATAAACATGTTATTTCCATCAGTATCTCTATAGCACATTTCTGTCTTTATATATAGACAGAAACAACCTGAATTTCTTCTCTTCCTGAAAAAAGGAAAAAAAATAGAAAGTTACTATATACTGATCCCAAAGATATCTGTGTAAGTCAGAGTTGTCTTCTGTAGAAACCTATCATTGAAAGAGGCTTACTGAAATTACTGTATTTCATTTCTCCATTGAAGATTTAGAAGTAAAAAGCAACTAGTTCTTAGCAGTTCCAAATTATACATCCATTTCCCCAACCATCTCAGCGGAGAAAAAAAATAAATTCTTGGTATGTCTTTTTCCAGAGCACTAACAAAACTCTGTAGTAGGAAGTAGCATCTACTCTGTCATAGGCATCAGCAGCAGGGTTGGCTGCAGTGCTGCAATCAGTTATACTGCAGAGCTTCTTATAGCAGGACAACTGCACCACTATAATTGGAGAGCACTGGGACTGAAATTTCATTGCTGTAGCAGGGTAATTGCAGCCTGAGTGTCAGAGAAAAACTGTCCCTCCAAGTTGGCACCCCTCCCTGAGAGCAGTGAAAAGCTGTCTTCATACAGCTTTTGAGAACAGGATTTTCAGTAAAGCTACATGTACACTAAGCATGTTGTTTGCTGCCAATGTTTAGATCTGCATCTGCTTTTCCAGGTGAACCAGGCAAAGCAAGCTACGGCAGGGAAGGCCGTGATGGTGAGAGAGGTCCCCCTGGGGTGGCCGGTCAGCCTGGTGTCCCTGGTCCCCCTGGCCCTCCTGGCCCTCCTGGGTACTGTGAGCCAGCATCCTGCAGAGTGCAGGCTGGACAGAGAGTGGATAAGAACATGAAAGGGCCGTGAGTGGGCAACGCAAGTGCCACCGCGTCAGCATCAATTTACTTCTTGCACAGACAGCTGAGAAAAAAATAAGGAATGAAGGAGAAATGCAAACATGGACAAATCTTTCAACCAAGGTTTCAGGAAGGTATTTTTAACACAGTGGTTGTGCATTCTTTCAAAAGGTTTACTTAGCAACACAAGCTGCAACAATGGTGCTTACAGAAATACACAGGTGATGCCTTCTGGTTCTTTCTCCTTTTGGGGAGGATAAAAGGCAGTTGTCTATTTTTATTTTTATTTTTATTTTTGATTTTGTTTAATAAAGGGGTTCTGTGATTTTTCCTTATCCCATACTTAATTCCTATGTATGACGTACAGTGAAATAACACGACTTCAGCCATCAAATAAAAAAAGGACAGTTTATTTACTGCAGTTGTAGCTATTCTTTTATACTTATAAAATAAATTCTAGCACCTACCCTTCATGCACAGTCATTTCATTGTATGTATGTGTTGTCCAGGATATGCTAAACCTCCTTCAGCTCTTCAATTCAATTGCAGAAGCACAGTTGGGAGACTTTTCTTATGCAAACCTGCCACCTCTGGCACCTTTTATGCTGTCAATCTCTGTAAAGGTATGATCACTGGGTTCTCATGAATAACCCATGTGGAATAATCTCTTCATTTTCGACTCCAATTTGTGTTGCATTTGTAATTTCATAGGAAGCCTATTTCAGTTTGCCTTCTTCTATGTGAAATTAAATAAAAGGCTAGTAGCCACTGTCAAGGGAATTTTAAGTCCTAGAAAGATATGTTTTATAGCAAAGATTACAGATTTTGAAGTAACATCTGTGATTGTACAAAACCCCAAATAAATAATATTTTAATCTCCTATATCTTTTTTTTATGTATGGTTACATTCAGTACTGATTAACAGAACAACCAGAAGGCAGCAATTAGATGTCCCAAGTTGCCTTTTTTAAAGATACTCAGTTTTTAGAGGAAAATGTGCATTGTCGATATTCTGTTGCTCTCCGTATAAATTAAACTATTTGTGGTTTTGACTTTACCTCTCTGAAGTTTATTCTCTCTCCAGGACAATAATGAAACCATCCTATGATGTTTCCTTTAATTTCATTATTAGCCATCCAAATTTTCAATCATAAACTTTGACACACTTGCTTTAAGCACTGATTTTTTTCCTAGCCCTTAGCTATCTGGTTATGTTCCAAACAGTTGACTTGTTTGCCATGTGACAACAGAGAGAAAGTACACAATGCATGGAGCTCTGCATTTTGCATGTAACATAAGGGGAATGGCACTGGTATAATATATACAGCAAAAGGAATTATTGAAAAAAAGAGTAGATAAACCTTCCTCAAACCAAACCTGATGCTCTGGCTGCATCTAGGGCCACTTTTCTGGCACCTCATGTGTTGACAGAAAGTGCCTAAACAAAGATCACTTAAAACAAAAATGTCCGATTCAGCTGCCTACTAAAATAAAGTATACTTGAGACTTTTTAGAATTAGTTAAATGGGATTAATTCTGATAATGTTGTTGCCTAAAGATTGGGAACAAAAAAAACTCCAGGCAAGTTTAGTAGAGATAAGCTATAGAGCAGGTCTTTAATAAATGCCTTCTGCTGCAAGGAGTACGAAATGGTGCACGCCCCGTGTCCAGGGGTTCCACAATTTATTGTCTGATCTGAGAACTACCCACCCCCAGATCTGCCCCCTGGCATGCCTCTCTGGAATTGAGTTGGGGGTTCCAAGACACCTTTCTTCCTCATCTTCCTCTTTGTCACGGCACGTACTGTCTTTGGAGCTTCTCCAAGGTTCCTGGCTTGAACGTTGCTTTGACTGTGATGGTATCTTGTTGTTCAGGCCTGGGGTGTGACTGTTCTTAAACAGAGTGTGTTTACTATAGTCCTACCTTGAAAGGAGCTTTAACAAGCCTAAAGAATTTAGGAAATCCAATATGAAATAGGGGAATAGGGTTTGGTGAGTGTTTACTATTCTAAAGAGTGACAGACTATGCAGCTACATTAAAATCTACAAAAAGCTAAAAATCCTAAAAACCCTAATCAATGTCTTTCTGTCCCTGGCATAGCCCAGTATTTTAGACGATAAATATAAAAGAGGTCAAATCTTTACAAGTCTTATCTACACGTGGCTACTGTGCTCTATTTAGTTCCACAAAAGCAGCACTGGGTGAGATTTCAGGGAAAAGATGGGGCAAGAAAATAGGCATAAACAAACATGCCATCCTGCCCCGAGACTCAGGGCAAAGCTTGGGACAGAATGGTTTTTATGCACCTCCAGTCTGGCCAAATTCATAGCCAATATCCCCTGCATTAATACTACAAGAAGTTGCCAAAATAGTCAAGTGCAAAGAATTTAATTCTGCAGGAACATATCCAGAAGATTCCACATGAAGTGAGTGGCTTGGGCACACATAAAGGTGTTTTAGAATTAGGTCAGTTTTTACTGATTTAGGGCATAATCCTCAAAAGTACTACTTACATAGTGCAACAAATAAAAAACTAGTGGTAATGACAAACTGTAGTTTCACCAGCAAACTTTTATTTTTACTATAAAGTGTGTAAAACTGTTGAAAAGAAAGAAACCCATCTGATAACAGAATGAAAATATTGTTTTCCATATGTAATACATACACATATGAATCAAAAGAAGCAAAACCCCCAACATTTAAATACAAATGTGAAGTGCTTTAAAAAATATAATCTGAAAAATGCATAAAATTCCACTATGGAAGGAAACTCGTAGAAGCAAAAACAATAATATGTAAAAACCAAATAAGAATTATTACAATCAAACAAATTCAACACTGAGGGTCAATTCAATGCAGAATCTATATAAGTGGATAGCTTAAGATTGTGGCAGATTTTCTGCCTTCAAGCTGACTCACAAATTTTAACTTAAAATACAGAACTGAAGAATAAATCCTCAGGCCCATTGTAAGTCATTATGGGATGTATTGGTTAATCTAAGTACTTACCAATTTCAAATCTCGCACAAGAGTGGAAAATAGGTACCTGACGAATGGTACACCATATACCATAACATACCAGGGACTGGATTTTTCGTAACAGCACATTCAAGTAAATAACCATTTGGAAAATAAAGACAGGATTATGAATTTAAAACAAAGGTGTATTGACTATGGTGAATCAGAGAAAAATAGTGCCAGTTCAAACAAATAAATTTAGAAGGCACAACGCAAAGAGACTGAGAGGTTTCACAAGCCACTGACAGCATGCCGCCAATTCTAACCAGGTGCTCCTGGAATCTCAGTGAAGTCCCAAGTAAATCATGTTCTCATCTCCAGGTTTAGCATTAAAAAATGCTATGAGATTAATTGAACAAAAAAAATCAGTTTTACCCATTGTGATTTCTGTCACCACTTCTAATTCTGGAGGCTTAATTGCACTGTAATAAATACATATTTTAGCTCCTCAGTTACTTCAGTGTAGGCAGGAACCCAGAAAAAATGTCCTCAGAATTATAACCAGTTCATAGACTTGTTTAGGTTGGAAAAGACTTTTAACATCATTGAGTCTGACTGTTAACCTGGCACTGCCAACAAATTTGGTGGCCTTCTATGACGGGGTTACAGTGGTGGTGGATGAGGGAAGAGGGCATGACATCATCTACCTTGTCTCTTAACTGGAGAGACATGGATTTGACAGATCTGGGTAGTCGCACTCACAGAGTTGTGGTCAATGGCTCAGTGTCCATGTGGAGACCAGTGACAAGTGATGTTCCTCAGGGACCTGGACGGGTACTGACAGTTCAACATCTTTGTCTGTGACATGGACAGTGCGACCAAGTGCACCCCCAGCAAGTTTGCCAATGACACCAAGCTGTGCAGTGCAGTCAACACACCAGAGAGAAGGGATGCCATCCAGCACAACACGGACAAGCTCAAGAAGTGGGCCCACAGGAACTCATGAAAGATTAAGCCTCAACACAGCCAAGGTCCTGCACATGGGTCGGGGCAATCTCCAGCATCTGTCAAGCTAGCCTGTCCATATCCCTCTGCAGAACCTTCTTAACCTCCAGCAGATCAACCTGCCCAACTTGGTATAGTCTGAAAACTGAGGGTGCCCTCAATCCTCTCATCCAGATCACAGATAAAGATATTAAACAGATCTGACCCTTGGGAAACGCCACTAGTGACCAGCCACCAAATGGATTTAATTCTGTTCACCACCACTCTCCAGGCCCATCCGTGCTATATGTTACTCCTGTATAATTTGTTACAGCTTCAGTTTTATTCCCCTCTCTTCAATCTTTTGTTATTTCTGTTCTGTTTCGCTTGCTGCATGTGCATCCAAAGGGACAAGTAAACCTGGCAGTTTCAGACAATGAATGAAATGAACTTGCTGAAGCCACTGTGAAATCGGAAGAAAGAAAATCAACCTAGTGGTCAGATTATTACCTAGCATCCTTTAAAATGCCATTGGCATAGGAGTTCTCTTTTTCCTCCTGGGAGAGTTAGGCAGCAAGAGAACAATGAAAATGCCTGAAGTTCTCTAAAGTTAAGCAGTTCAGTGAATCAGTTTCTTGAATAAAAGTGATTATCTCATATTTAGACAAGAAAGTTATCTGCACCTGATTCAGAGAATGTATTAACTTCCATAAATTATATACATATTAAGGCCAAGGTTTTTCACTTTTTTTTCCCTCCAGATTGTAGAGCCCAAAGTTTCACCAGCTCATAGGAAGCACAACTTCAGCATGGTCAAAAGCCAACCCCCTAAATTCAGCCAACCTGCTCTGACCACTCCCCAGAGCTCGCTGCAGTGGCTTTGTGTGTCTCCTTTCTCCCATTTGCAGTTGCATCCTCTCTCTCATGATTTGACACAGAAGGAAAAATTAACATTTCTGACAGAGGCACAAACAGAAAGTATGTGAAACATTTCCATTTCCATCCGGAATACTGTTTCAGATGTAAATGGCCAGATCATAATGTAAAAAGTAATTTTCCATCCACTTAATACATTTCCACTGAACAGAACCCTAAATGTTGCAAACCAAAAATAGAAGGAAGGAAGGAAGCAACCAGCCGGCATGTACTGTGATTAATTCAGTGACAGCTGCATATCATTCAGAAATGAAAGAATACAAAAAAATAAGGTATGTCATTGAGAATCCTTCAAACATACTGACTGGAGACAATATATTTACATTAAAACTGCAGTAAATAATTAAATGCATTTGTGTTTATAGAACAGAAGACTCAGAAAGAAAACTGCTAAAAGACATGTAGACTCCAATCTTTTTAGCTACAAATTTATTTTGGTCTAGAATTGATAATGTGTTTTAGCAATTAATATTAGAAAACAACATTTCATTAAGGTATTGTGAAGCTGAAATTTTCCACTTAAACACAAACAAGGTCAGGGTTAAACTTGTTCTTCATGGCCTACACCCACCTGTGTGTTTAGAGATGGATTTCAACATCCTTCCAATACAATCTAGTTATAGTGGACATATCAGATTTCAGAGAAAATTTGTATGATTTGGTACATCCAGAAACTAACAAAAACTCGATAAAAACCCACACTAAACCAACGTTTTGATTTCTGAGATACTCTTCTTATTCTAACATGTCACATTAGAGCAGCAATTCTACTGCATTCGTAAAATGCAAGGTTAGGGACTGGTTTTAAGTAGTATATTTGGAGAAACAAATTTATAAAATGGTAGTTTAGCCAGTGGGATTTTTACAAAGAATTTTATGTAAACATTTCAGAAAAAGAAGAAAAAAACTGAGTGTACACTGACATGAAAAATAGTATTTCATCCTTGTGAAAAAGAAGAAGGTCCAAGATATTTTGTGTGATTATCCATTAATTTTAAAAATACATTTAACAAAGCTGTGCATATCTAACATCTGTCATAACCCAAAATCATAAAACAAAGGATGGACGATACAATCAATCCTGTTCCTATATCATAGTGCTCTTTTAGTATTGAAACCAAGTCCAGTTTAAGACAAGAATATTGGTTTTCAAAATATTACCAGGCTGCACTGCTGTTCATAAGGCTTGTATGAAGGATGCTGTTGTAATTTTTATTAACCATAGGTAAGTCCCTTCTCCCTTGGAGACAAATGGGGACATAAATGATGCCAGAAAGTGGGATGTCCCACTAATACACATTCTTTTTAACATACACAAAACACAATATAATAATAAACACAAATAAAGTCTAACCAATGTTACATAACAAAAATTATCCAAGAAAGGCAGTATTTCTGCAAATACTACCATGCAAAACTAAATAGATTTAAAAAAAAAAAAAGTCAGGCTCAAGAACAAAATGAGAAACACTGACTCTTGTGCTGTGAGAATATGCATCACTGGGTCAGCTCTTGCACTGCTGGGCAAGTTAGGCCTGGGCTGTACCCTTTGTACTGAAAGGATGTTTTGGACTCCACCATGTGGACAACAGGAGGTCTACTGCAGCTTTGGTAAAGTTTCTCTCTTACCAAGTTTTTTCTTTCTTTAGGCAAACTGAGTAGTTCTGTACATAGCAATTTCAAGAAAATCTCAACGTGTTCTTAATAGGTGACAGAGCAACTTGCCATAAAACATAATAGTCTGACCCTGAACTAGGATAAAGCTTAGAGAGCTTTTAAGAAAGGTTTAAAACATTTTGTCAAAGTTATTTACTTCTGAGTCTTGTTGCACATAAACATGCCCAAATCAAAGACCTCATGTTACTGGAAAAAATAATCCCCCGTGTTTAGTTCCTTGTAGTGCTTACTGCAGCATGAACTGCTCAAAACAGATAAAAAACTGATAAAGCAAATTGCAAAATAGATTAGCAACCCCTCCCCAAAAACTATGACAACATCAATCTGAAACTGCAAAGAAATTTCAGGGGCCAAACCTGAAAACCATGCAGAAACATGTTTCCAGCTACATTCCATTTTTGATTCTAAAAATACAGAGTAGGAGCAAGCCAGTGTGAAGTAAAGTAAAGCTGGGATTAACACTGTTCTACCTCAGTGAAGAATGTGGCATCTTAAAAAAGGTATTGAGATAGCCCATATAAAAAAATACCCGTTTTCTCACATGAGAAAATTAAAGTGGGCTTTTAGCAAAATAAAAATAATGCAACAAAATAGTTACCAAAGTTAACTGTAAATCAACTGAAAGCATTCAAATGCATTTTAAAAAGACCTTTATGTTTGAGCCTATACAAAGAAAAAGGCATCTGTAGGAAACATAGATGAAAAAATAAAACTTTTTCAAATATAAAAAGTGTTCTGCTTTCCAATAAGTTCAAGTAAATTAACATACAGCAATTGCATCTGACAGATGACAGATGCTGGGTTTCAGCTACCTAAAAGCCCCAAAATATACAGATACCATTAATGTGGCATGATAGTCCATGTACAGCCTTCCAGATGGGGCTGCTTGTGAACCTCTAAGTTGCATGAATATTATTCACAAGACAGCACCCTTTTCAATATTATCACAGAAAATGAAGTCAAAAATTAACTTATGAAGTAAAAAATGTTTAGACTATTACACATATTGGAATTACTAGAGAAGTAACAAAAGAAAAAAATAGAGGGAAAATGCTTATGCAAGATACCTGACCAGCAGTTCTTCCTTTCAGAGAATGGAAACCAGTATGTAGGACTGTTCCTCCACTGGCGTACATGTACAGACACCGAGACAGGTCTTGGTGCAAGGCTGTACTTGCTGGGCTGGCAGACCTAAGGCCCACACTGCAGGAGGTGCCTCAGGACAGACAATTGCTTGGTTTCAAGCTGCCTCACCAGTTCCCAGTGCTCTCACAGCCTTGGCACTCTAAGGACCAGATCTGGAAAGGCGATCAGTTCCACAGAGCAAACCAAAACACACTCCATGGGCACAGGAGGTCTGGAAGAGGAGCAGGTGAGTTAAGCACAGGCAGGACCACTTGTCCTGCACCTTCACCCTAGTGGGACAGGCACCCACCACCCGCAGAGCAGAGGATGTGCTGGTCTAAAGAAGGGGCAGCTATTGCCTCCCAAGGGATGGGAGGGATGAGCAGAAAAGGAGGTGTGAGAATTGGAGTTTGCTGGTGGGCTTTGACCTATCTGTTCCCAACCTCATGAGGGACATACAAACCACCCTGACCCCCCAGGGAGTCCCCAGCTCTAGGGTGTATTACATTTCCTTTAGGTAGCATCCTCCTCTTTCCTGCTGCCCTCGTCTGTCCTGGTTGTTTACACTCGGCTTTTCATCCTTATGTTTCCTTTAACATCCCTTTGTCTCAAGCACCTTCTTTCCTCCAAACATCTAATTGATGAATATGTCAGGGATGCGTGCTTTCCCCCTCAGAATATGTGCCTGAGCTCCCCAGCTGCCTGGGTTAACTCTTTTACCTCTTGCTTTCATCTCACTCTGGGTGCAAGTGCTAGGAACTCTGTTCAGAAGAAATGCCAGTGTATTTCTGTTTTTAAAGACTCACACTGGTCATTCCTTAACTGTTTTTCAGCAAAACCAAGAAGTCAGCCAGATTCATGTTTCACAACAGCTTCTCTGGAAGCCAGCACTTCCAGTGTGAGAATGCTTCCCTGGCACCTCCGTACTGCTCAAGCACGAAGTCATCAAAACCACTTTTCTGCCTGATATGGGAGAGTGCCCAGCTTCCTAACAACAGAGTGAGATCCCCTCAGTATGGCTTTGCACTACAGATGTATTTTGAGGTTTTGGGTTATAGCTACCTGTGTTCATTCTTCCCATAGCACCTTCACTTTCTATTGCACTGCAGAAAATTCCACAGGACTAATCTAGGATGATCTGTTTCCTAATAATCAGAAGTGAAACTTTGGCCATGTCTCCTCCCTCCTTTTCACAACTAGCCTCTGTGTGATCAATTTTCTCTAGATTTTCTTTTGCTCAACTCTTTGAGCTCTACAGGATGTACATTTCATTCTATTTGGCTGACATTGTCTGGTCCTGTAGGATTTACTCATTGCCTGAAAACTGTCTGCAGTTGTGCTCCTGGTATTAAACCTTTCAAGGAGGGTTTTGTACTTTTTTCCAAATTTTTCTTGCACTCAAGTGACTTTTTTGCGATTTACTAGGACCTGTGAATTTTACACTCTGCAGTTTTCATGTTCTTCTCAAGCTTATTTCAGCAGTTGATTATTGCAGGAGGAAGAGGAAAACTGTACCACTACCAAGATCAGAGGCTTGTGAAGTTCCCATCTTGGACTGCAGACCCACCACTCTCTGCTCTAAAGCAAGGGGTCACCTTTGCTGTAGTCAGACCTAATAGCAGAGTAGCTTGATTACAGGCAACGATGGTACACTTAGTCCACGTGATGGTCAGAATATATGCCAGTTCTCAGTCGGGAACATCAACGCCAGCCCTTTGCAGCTAAATATCTGGACTGCATGTAGCCATGACTAAATGAACATACAAGCCCCCTAGTTGGGAAAATATCCAGTCAGGAGAGACACTTCTTGGGGCTACACCCGGTGATTTTTCAGTCAGTGTGAAGCTCAGCGTTGGAGGAGATTAGGGAGATCATAAACACATCTTCGTCTCCTTCTTCAACATCTTGGACATGACTGAAATGGTGGGCAGCATTTGTGATGCACAACAAAGACCCTTTTCAGAAGGTGTGCCAGAGCCTCCTCGAGGGACATGAACGTTTAGTCTGAACAGAGTTCCCAGTGCTCCAGCTCAGGTCCGGCGTTCGCCATGAACAAGTATGCTTTGAAACTTCAGAAATGTATATTTTTGATTTAAAATTCACCACCAGCAAGAAAAATAAAGCCAGCTTACATACTGGGGCATACACAATGTCTTAAGTAATAACAAAATATTTTTTGTTTGAAGAAAGAAGGTGATGAAAATTTTTTGTGCCTATTTTCTGTTCTAAGCAAAATAAATATGAGAAACAACACATGGAATGCACTCCGGAAAATATACATCATCATTTCATTATTACGACACTGCTAATAACATAGAAAAAAGCTCAATTTTGTGCCTTACAAATTATCTATATACCATGCAGTGTCGAGAAAAAAAAACCGCACCAAATATTTAAAAAATGAAATTAACTTATTGGGAGGAGTGAAAAGTGATCATGAACCCAAGTGTCTCAGGGAGAGGATTTTTATTTTCTGCTGGTGTGTGACCGAGTCTGTGATATGTGGTAATAGCAATCTGCCGGATTGCATCTCCCACTGGGTCCAGGTGGCCCCTGTGGTCCGGGTGAGCCTGGTGTTCCTGGTGGGCCTGGTAGGCCAGCAGCTGGTAAAACAAAGTTAGAATTAGTAGAATCCTCACCAAAGCACATGTAGTGTCCTGCATTTTATCACTGACAGTCAGCTGCACACCAGCTCATCCACAAGAAGGCAGGTGGGTCTGACCTCGTGCTATGACTCAGCTTGGGAGGAAAGGCAGGGGTGTAAAACCAATATGAAAAATGGGAGAAAGGCCCATTAGTTCATAAATAACAATAACAGAAATAAATCTTGAGACTTGTACCTGCAGGGCCAGGTGGTCCGGGGTTACCGGGCAGTCCAATTCCAGGCTCGCCTCTTTCCCCTTTCTGTCCTCTATAACCTACACAGAATAAAGACATGAAAATAAGAGCACCCTCTTATTATAAACAGTGATCTTCTGTATATCTTTGTAACAGAAAATTACCAACACAAATGTAATTGGAAAAGCACATGCTCACTTCTTTTTCAAGAGTGGTATTTTTTCCTAAGACAGCTTTTAAGTTTTTAAGTTCCTTCTGGAAAATATGAGCATTTCTAGTAGTAACTGTTGCGTCCTCTGCCAAAGGACTCTTGCTTTGTTCACTAGTTGGACTTTTCTCCAAGATTTTAAGTTACCTTTCTGAAGCTCCTCTAATAAAGACCCAAATGCATATTCTGCTCTGGTGTTCCCTGTTCAGTGAAGTGATGTAAGGCAGCAATCCAAAGGCCATCTGCAGTCTGACCAGTCCTTCTCTCGTAGCCCACAAACTGAGCAAGACTTCACCCTCTCTGTTCTACACAAATCCTTACATTTGCACTTTTTAGACTGTAAACTGGCAGTTTTATGCTTAGACATTCCCCTGTATGTGAGACAAGACCCACTCCCCTGTCAGTGTTACCCAGTAGCCCTCATGTGGAATGAGGCATCTTTAGAGCTTGTGCAGATTTCAGGTTCAAGGCCTACTTTGACCCAAGCAGCTTTATACTGTTAAGAATATGTGATTACTTATTATACTTTGAATAACGTAGTTAATTTTCTTCACAGGCCATAGCTTTGTATTTATCTAAATAGCCTCCACCTTTTCAGGTGCTGCGACTCATGACCAATGCCTGTTTCTTTTTCCTTGAACTGTTTTTAAAGTGTCTTAGTTGGAAACACTCTGGCTGCTTCAGAGCAGAGGACCTGTGGCTATTGGTAAAGCATTTTCCTTAATATTTCAAGTTAAGAATCCATCTACTAATGTACCTTTTCTGTTCAGATCATGTAAATTATGCAGGACAGGGGAGGAAGGCATTTTTAAAGGAACAAGTGTGACACGTGCCACAACCCATTACTTTACAAGAGATTATAAGGAAACCACCTTCCTTCCAAGGAAACCTTCTTCCTTCCCCAGCACCTCAGATGTGTAAGGTGACAAATATTGAAGATTAATTTGCCAATTTCTGGTCACATTTGGAATTAAATTTGTCCTGCATATGGGACCAGTATATTTCTAGCATTGCCTAAGCCATACAATAAACTTCCTCTTGTGAAGAAGTGTAACTCAGTTTGAATTCAAAGAGAAGAGTCACAGCTGAGCAGCCAACGTGGTGTGAATCCACCTGATGTCTCATGAAGATTAACAGGCACTGGCAGGTGGATAGCAAAGGTTGTCTTGTCAGTGTGCTGTGGTCTATGGCAACACTGGTACCTTACAAGATATTCCAGAAGGAGACTACTGTGGGTACCAATTCAGGGTTGTTACAACAGACACAATGCAGTAGGAATGGTATTCAATTCAGAGTATTCAAGCTTTCTGTTACACAAAAGCTCATTATACACTTTAGTAGAGTCTATTATCTATTGCAACCATTCTACGTTTCAAAACAGAGCATCAATCTTCTCTCAGCACTGCAATAAGGAAATTACAGGGAGGCAAAAACATTAGAAAACGCATGCAGGGTGACATACATAACATAACTAAAGGAAATCAACAGTTTAAAAGCTCACAGAAAAACAAACAATATTAATCATGCATTCTGGTCACTGAGTTGTGTGTTAAGCAGAATTGTACAAGGCATATATGCACACATATTGTACACACATATATGCTATAATGACTAAGAAAAAGGAATATGCAGGTGCTTATACTTAATTTTGAATACTGGTTTTGCTCTTTAATGACCATGGTAGTATTTATAACTACATCAAGTTTTTTTGCTCTGAATCATCTTGTGCAATGCTGTTTTGGCTACTGT